GTCCGGGACTCGAACCGCAGTTGGCTACATGGGAGTTCAGCGACATAGCCATTACTCCGACTGCTGGTCCCTATTCCAGTGACTTAAAGGACTGTCATATGGAAGCTAGATTAGACTTAATGTCCTTTATCACTTTAAAAGGTAAAACTCTAGGGGCTAGCAGGTAACATGATGGTTAAAGCTGCTGGACTCCCACATGGCTAACCGTGGTTTGAGTCCTGGACCTGGTAGCTTTTCTCCCCCCCACCCCCCACCCCCGTGTGTCTCTCTCTGATCAAACTGGGAAATAATAATAATGTTAAATAAAAAATAATTCCTTTTTTTTTTTTTTTAAGAGAGGTTTTTACTATAGGGCTCATTCATTCACTGGAGAGACAGACAGAAAGCAAAAAATTATCCCCCAGAGGAAATGGCCATGCTGCAGTCCCTTCTCCAGTCTCCTCTTGGGATTTTTGGCACACATGCACACGCCACCCCCAACGTGAGTTTTAAGTCTCTGAGTCCAAGACTCAAACTGTAGTTGACTACATGGGACTCCAGTGAGGTAACCATTACGCCATCTGCTGGTCCCATAAAGTAATTCCTTTTTTAAAAAAATAAATAAGGTAGGACCAGCAGTTAACATAATGACTATGTGGCTGAACTCCCATGTAGCCGACCACGGTTCAAGTCCCGGACCCGGTGGCTTAAACTCATGCCGGGCGCGTGTGCGTGTGTGCCCAAGATCCTGAGAGGAGAATGGAGGAGAAAGGATTGCAACATGACCGTCCCCCTGGGGAGGTGATTTCTCGCTTTCTGTCTCTCTGTTTCTCTCTGTCTCTTTGGTGAGCACACATGCCCTATAGCTAAATAAATAAATAAATAAGAAAGATAAAACTTTTTTTTTTTGAGAGATTTTCGCTATAGGGCACGTGCGCTCACCAGACAGACAGAGAGAGACATAGAGACAGAAAGTGAGAAATCACCCCCCAGGGGGGATGGTCACGTCGCAATCCCTTCTCCTCCATTCTCCTCTCAGGATCTTGGGCACGCACACACATGCACCCGGCGTGAGTTTTAAGCCACTGGGTCCAGGACGCGAACCGCGGTCGACTACGTGGGAATCCAGTGACATAGCCATTACGCTAACTGCTGGTTCCCATGAAAGATAAAACTTTTGAGCTGATTTGGTGGTGAGGTGGTAAAACTGCTCAAGAGAAGCTGGTTCCAATATGGAAGGTCATGGGTTTAGTTTCCTGGTCAACCTGTGTGTGCCAGGTGCAAACCCTCATGGTCTTGTCTGACTGGGAAGGCTGAGGGGGATCACAATGTGAGACCCTGTTGGTGCTTATCTTTCATTCTATGTCTCTCTTTCTCTCAATCTCTCCCTCAATTTTCTTATTAAGGGAATAAACTCTTTTTAGAGAGAGATTTTTGCTATAGGGTGCATGTCTCTCACCAGGGAGACAGAAAGTAAGAAATCACCACCTCCACCCCCCACCCCACCCCGCTTCAGGAGAAGGCCATGCCACAATCCTTTCTCCATTCTCCTCTTGGGACTTTGGGCACACACGCACATGTGCCCGGTGTGTGTTTCAAGCTGCCATGTCTGGGACTCAAACCACAGTCAGCTACATGGGAGTCCAGCGACTTACCCATTACACCATCTGCTAGTCCCTAAATAAACTTACTAAAAAGTAAAATTATCTTCAGGAAGTGTATTTCATCTCAAAATAAGAAAGCTCTGTCGCAATGTATCATGCTGTCTTAGATGGGAGAGAGCTGACAGGGTGGTTGTAGCGGGAATACCAGTATCAGGGAAATCAACGGGCTTCTTGTCCCTGGGCCTTTCTAGCTATAAGGCCTTGCTGTTCCGAGTGGGGGACGGGACTTACACGTACTTGAGATACGAGCAGAGAGCGTGTCGAGGGCACAGGCAGGAAACTGTGAGGTAGACGGTGCTAGAGGGCTCGCGGGGGCTTCCACATTTGCCTGGCGTAGTTGGCAGATGAGACAGCCAGGAAGAAAATGGAGAGATCTTGGGATAGAACTAGTGTGTGGAAAATGGGGACACTCTGACCCTATTCTCTTAATTCCGTCCTTTGACCCTAAAGAGACGTATGAGCGGCTCGAGGCCGACAAGAAGAAGCAGGTTCACAAGAAGCGGAAGTGCCCCGGGCCCATCATCACCTATCATTCGGTGACAGTGCCGCTCGTTGGGGAGCCAGGCCCCAAGGAAGAGAACGTGGACGTAGAAGGGTGAGTGGAACTGGGGGAAGGGGAAGAGCGATTCCTCCCTGTTTTCTTGGCCCCATTTCATGTGCTTTCCCCACACAGCTCCCCTCACACCTAGTTATCTCAGAGCCCTCCCTCTCTTCAGCTCTATGTTTCTTTCACTTTCCGTCTCTTCTCTAAAAATTACCTTTAAGCCTAGCACTTTCCCCTGTCGTGCTATAGATTTGCTGAGAGTGTTTCCTCCACTCTGACTCCTTTTTCTCTCTACATCCCTCTGGCTTCTTTCTTCCTGTGCCTGTTGTCTTCTCCCATCAGATCTCCAGACTTTTCTTTTTTTGCCCTAGACTTGATCCTGCTCCCCCGGCTTCTGCACTGACTCCCCATGCTGGGACTGGACCTGTCATCCCCCCCCCTCGCTGCTCACGGACCTTCATCACTTTTAGTGATGATGCGACGTTTGAAGAATGGTTCCCCCAGGGACGGCCCCCGAAGGTCCCTGTTCGGGAGGTCTGCCCAGTGACCCATCGTCCAGCCTTATACCGGGACCCTGTCACAGACATCCCCTACGCCACCGCTCGAGCCTTCAAGATCATCCGTGAGGCCTACAAGAAGTACATCACTGCCCACGGGCTGCCGCCCACAGCCTCAGCCCTGGGCCCAGGCCCGCCCGCTCCAGAGCCCCTCCCCGGCTCTGGACCCCGAGCTTTGCGCCAGAAAATCGTCATCAAATGAAGAGAGGTCTAGTCCTTCACCATCTTGTTCCTGCCTAGACTTGGGGCTCTTGATGGTCCCTGTCCTCCCTCTGATCCTTCCTTTTGTCATTCTTGATCTTTGCTCCACCCTTTTCTGTATTTCTTTCCCCATCATTTCCCCTAGTTGCTACTGGTTTTGTTGTGTTTTTTAATCTAATAAAATAGGAAGATTCCATTGTCTGGTGTCTAATTTAGGGTTGGGAACAGAAGAATTTAGGAATGTCTGAGCATACATGGGTCTTTATATTTGTTTTATAGCATTTATTATGGGCTCTTTTAAAACAATATTTAATTTTACTTATTATTATTTTAAATTTTGCTATAGGGCATACATGCTTATGAGAGAGAGAGAGAGAGAAAGTGAGAAAGTAAGCCTCCAGGTCTGAGACTCGAACCGCAGTTGGCCATGTGGGAGTCCAGCACCTTAACACCATGCCACCTACTGGCCCCATGAGCTTTTCTTTTTAATTTATTTTATTTATTTACTTATTTTAATTTGATCAGAGAGAGAGAGAAGGAAAGTGAGAAAGCAAGCTGCCAGGTCTGGGACTTGAACTGCAGTCGGCCATGTGGGAATCCAGTGCTCTTAATCACCATGCTACCTGCCGGCTCCTCTTTTTAAAAATTGTGTGCATTCCTCTAACTAGATAATAAATACCTTAACAAAAATAACAAAGCAAAATGATTATATTGACCATTATATCACCTTAAATTTGCCTCTTTGAAGGTAGCAGGTACCAAATAAGTAGGAGTTGTTTGATTCTTGGAAACCTCAGTGTCTAGGGCTTGGGCTTGGATAAGGAGAAGGAGGTGCCATGGCTATGAATGGCCACTAGAGGCTCTCAGGGCTGGGCAGGGTATGGGGGCTGTGTATATGTGATCTCCCACTACCCCCCACCTGGCCAGAGCTAAAATAATAAAATGCTGAGCTCACTGTTCCCCCACCCTCTCCCCCTGCACCGGGTGCCTCCTGCTGCCGGAACAGTGCTCCAGTAGAACAGACAGACCAACCGACAAGAAGAGGCAAGAGGGAGGTGGCCACCAGGACTGGTAGGTGGGAAGGCAGGGGGCTTATGGATGAGAGCCCGGTGGGAGATGGGAGGTGAAGAATGGCTCCTATGGGGAACGGTACGGAGTGTGTGTCTCGCTGTCATTCTGTATTCCTCTACTGTCTGTCCCTTCGCTGTGTGCGGATTGTTTGCATTGTCAATGCGAGTGTCTCACTTTCTGCATCTTTCATATTCAGTGTGGTGTGTATATGCAGAATATGTGCATTTTTCGTATCGTGAGAAGTTGTGCAAGTAATCTTCACACTGTTTTTAGAGAAACTTTGCCCCATTTAGGTGTTTCCCATCTACAGGTCTGGTGTCACCTTCCTATCCAAAGCCAGGGACAAAGTATGGGGACACTGTCCCTTCTCTTGGGCCTTACTGCCCTCCCCCCGACCTGGAAGTCCTTCATCTTCTCTGAGCCCTTGTTTTCCCTTGGATTTAGAGTTTTAACAAGCATAGAAAGTGAAGTCTGATCCCCTGCAATAGACGAGGAAACGGGGTGGGGTTAGAGACTGTCCCTTCATCACTGAATCTTTCGTGCTTAAGAAAAAGACTGGATTATGAGGCAGAGAGAGGGATCTCCGTGAAACTCTGTGCCCCCCCTTTCAATAGGAACTGGGCACGGGGCCAGCTGTGTTGGCAGAGCTTCCAGCAGCTGTGCAAGGGCGAGAGGCACTGGCGGGTGAGGTTGTAGGAGGAGTGCTGCTAGGATTTCTCCCTCGTGGTGGGGAGACAGACCCTTTGGATGCCCGAGATCCCCATCGAGAGTGGCTGGAAGCTGGAGAAACTCGTGCTAACTCAGAACAACCTAACCTTCCCTCTGGAGTTCTAAGCTGCCAAATATCCAGCTTGATGTGCTATCCCCCCACCCGCCGCTGGCCTCTGTGTCCCTACTGTGTCCACATCCATCTTTCCATTGTCCAACCACTTTTCCCATGTCCCCTAGGCTCTGTGAGTGCCACTCACAGTGGGGAGGGGGTGGGGCCACCATGTCATCCTATCAGAAGGAACTGGAGAAATACAGAGACATCGATGAAGATGAGATCCTAAGGACTTTGAGCCCTGAGGAGCTAGAGCAGCTGGATTGTGAGCTGCAGGAGATGGACCCCGAGGTAGGGGCTGCAGCACAGGGGCAGTCCCCAGTCATCTGGGAGGGTGCGGGGCTCTGGGTGGCTAAGACCAGGGCTACCTACAGGGCCCGGAGTCCCAACTGAGCCAGGGAAAAGGTGTCTGGAGATGTTTTGGGGAGCCCTAGAGGCACCTCAGATCTGACTGGCTCCCCGAATTCATCTCTAAGAACATGCTCCTGCCAGCTGGACTAAGGCAACGAGACCAGACAAAGAAGAGCCCAACAGGGCCACTGGACCGAGATGCCCTTTTGCAGTACCTGGAGCAGCAGGCACTAGAAGTCAAAGAGCGTGATGACTTGGTGCCCTTCACAGGCGAGAAAAAGGGTACGGGACCCTGACATCCATGCCCCCCAGAACCCAAGTGACTCTCACGTCCCCCCTCCAGTCACCCTCTTGCCTTCCAACTCCTAGCTGCCCAGGGACTCAACTGCCCCGACGCTTGCATGCCAGCTTGCACTCTTCAGCTTTTAGGAGAGAGAGAGCACCCAGGAGTCCAGAGCTTGTAAGGGACTCAGGCTGTCCAGTGTCCCCTAGTGATTTAGCATTCACCTCCTAGAGAAGGAAAGGAAGCTGCTGGCCAGGATCTTGGGAGAAATGACCTCTCCCTGAACCACCCTTCATCTCTCCATCAGGGAAACCCTACATTGAACCCAAAAGGGAAATCCCAGCAGAGGAGCAGATCACCCTGGAACCTGAGCTGGAGGCAGCCTTGGCTAATGCCACAGATGCCGAAATGTGTGATATTGCAGGTGAGCAGCTGTGGAAAGCTGAGAAGGGGGAGCAGAGGCAGGGAAGTCCTAGCCATGGCGTGGGACTCCATGGGAAGGCCCTGAACCAGGATAGAGATGTTTGCAAGAGCCTCAGGCAGTTGTTTTTATTTTTTTTAGTTATTTGTTTGTTTATTCATTTTAAAATTTAGTATGTTGATATATCAAGAACAACTTTACAGAGCTTATAAAGGCAAGTAAAGGAGGAGCTATTCTGGGCCTGCTCATGGCCTGGCAGTTAATGTGGTTAGATCCCCCATGACTGACTGTAGTTTGAGTCCTGGATCCAGCATCTTGAAAAACACATCGGGTGCTTGTGTGTGCATGCCCAAAATCCCCAAAGGAGAAATAGAGGAGAAGGGATTGCAGTGTGACCATTACCCATGGTGGTGGCGGTGGTGGTAGTGGGGTGGGTGTCACTTTCTCACTTTCTCTCTCTCTGTGTCTTTGTCTCTATCTTGCTCTGCCTAGTGAGAACGTGCACCTTCTGGCCAAAAAAAAACATAATAATAATAAAAGAGCTATTTTCTGACTGCAGTTGGGAGGGGGTCTGCAAACTCCTTCACCCTCTAGTGTCTCCTCAGCACCTTCCCTTAGTCCTGTCTAATGTTTTACAAACCACAGTTTATGGAAGGGACACTTGGGGTTGAGGGAGGATGGGAAACCTCTTTGGAAGAGTGAAAGAGGTCAGGCTTTGAAAACCCTGTAGCAGATTTGAAATGAAGTCAGGGGGCTTGGGACAGGTCCCTCCTCCTCATTGCCTGGTCCCTCTCCTTCTCACCAGCAATTCTGGACATGTACACGCTGATGAGCAACAAGCAATACTATGATGCCATCTGCAGCGGAGAGATCTGCAACACCGAAGGCATCAGCAGTGAGTGTGGTGGGGGAGTGCAGTCCCTGGGGCTGGGAGCAGAAAGTCCCGGAGTCAGAAAAGGTAGCAGAGGGTGAGACAGATGAATCTAAGAGCGGACACGGCACATGAATGACAAGAGAACCAATGGGAGGAGACTGTGTGGGACATGGGTTCCCTTCCTACCCTGACCAGGTGTGGTACAGCCTGACAAGTATAAGCCAGTGCCGGACGAGCCCCCAAATCCCACAAATATTGAGGAGATACTGAAGAAGGTTCAAAGCAATGACAAAGAACTGGAGGAAGTGAATCTCAATAACATCCAGGTATTTAATGTCCACCCTCCAAACACTACTTTTGGGGTAACTATGAGAATGTCTTAGCCTATTGTCCTGTTCCCCTCTGCCAGGACATCCCAATCCCCATGCTAAGTGAGCTGTGTGAGGCAATGAAGACAAATACCTATGTCCGGAGCTTCAGTCTGGTGGCCACAAGGAGTGGTGACCCCATCGCCAATGTAAGGCCAGTTGACATCCCAGCCCTCTCCCCACGCCTTGACACACCTCTGGGCAGGGCTGACATACAAGGTGTGTGCGAGATGTGCTACTCCCATCATGCTTCCTGTAGGCAACCCTCATGGAGACCCCTCACCTCAGCCCTACAGCTCACAACTCCAAAATCTTGAGATCATTTTCTCAAAGGGCCACAGCACTCTGTACTATCACATTCTTTTTATTTATTTTTTAAAGAATTAATTAATTAATTAATTAACTTCAATTTGACCAGAGAGGGAAAGTGAGAAAGCAAGCCACCAGGTCTGGGACTTGAACCATGGTCGGTCATGTGGGAGTCCAGCACCAGCCCCATATACCACCAAGTTCTTGATCTCC